AAATAGATACAAAGTAACATTAGATTTCTTGCAATTTCTAGGTCCTTCTGAGGGAATGTTCTGAGCCTTGTTCCCCCTTTAGCACTAATTTTAAATTAGATTTGGTGAATGGTTGGTCATTAGACCCAGTTACCCTGAGCATATGACAGCCCCCCCCGCTAATGTTACCCACTGCTATCTGCAGTGATGGAGAAAAGATTAACAGAAGATTGAGAAGGGCGTTCTGCTGAGATCGTTTTTCATATAAGCCATTATTATCTCTATGTTAGTAAAACACAGAGTGGGAATAGCAGTTGGCTTTTCATGGAGAACTAAGTGTATGAAATTTCATAAGTTTGTGCATACATTTTGTAAGTGAAGTGATTCTGGTTGGGTGATGTTTACAATCTGTCTAAAGGGCAGAAGTAGAGGTTACTATTAGGCCATCTTAAGATGACTTCTTGTCATTTTCTTGCTTCCTTCCGCTTATAGTTTCTAGGTGTTCAGCCATTAGGAATTAGGAGAAATAATCTGTATTGCTGTATCAACAGATGACTCCTGTGCATGGAATCATTTGGGGATTCTGATATGTAGGCCAGTTGCAAATTTTGAAAAACAACACTTGGATATATGATTTCTCCATTAATGAAATTATGAATTGAAAGTTGATAGTTCATGGACATTGTCAGAAAGAGAAAGAAACTATATTTTGACATGGCCCCCCCCCCCGCCACCATGTATTAGTTTGTTAGATCAGCCACAACAAAGTACCACAGGCTGAGTGACTTAAACAGCAGAAACCTACTTCCTTATAGTTCTGGAGTGTGGAATCTGAGATCAGGGTTTTGGTATGGTTGTTGCTTCTGAGGCCTCTCTCTTTGGCCATCTTCCTTCTGTGGGTGTCTATGTCACAGTTTCCTCTTCCTGTTAGTGCTGTCCTAACATATCGGATTAAGGCTCATCCTGAAAACCTATGTTAACTAATTTCCTCTTTAAAGACCCTCTCTCCAAATAAACCACATTCAGAAACCCTGGAAGAAGACTTCATCAGATGAATTTTGGGGGAGAACAAATAGCCTTTAACAGTACTACACTTCTTAAATGATTTGAAACGCTTGTTAAATGAATTTAAGGGAAGGACCCTTAAATTAAGGGAATAGACCAAGCATTTTATATTGATTTTTTTTTTAAAGATTTATTTTTAAGTGATTTTTATACCCAGTGTGGGGCCTGAACTCACAACCCTGAGATCAAGAGTCGCATGCTGTACTGACTGAGCCAGCCAGCTGCCCCTGTATTAATTTCTGTAAAACAAAATACTTCACTTCATTAGTTACTGTTTAATCTCACAGGTTGGTTGATTTTTGTCATGTACCCTGCACGGTATTTTTTGAAAGTTCTTTGTGTCTTAATGTAGAATTACTTCCAATAGAACAGTATTCCTCCTGCTCTCACCTGGGTGTTAATATTGTCAAGATCCCCTCAAGATACAGATGTCAATTCAGTAGGTTTTGGATGGAGCCTGAGAACCAGAGTCTAACAGTTCTCCAGGTGATACTGATGCTTTTGATTCTCACATCATACCTTGAGAAGCAGGAACAGGATGGCTGCACAATTGCAGGTCATAGTGTAGAGTGAAAACGTGGATCCCTTGCTCAAAAATGATTAAGAATTTTGAGACTACACAGCAGAGCACAGAACCAAGTGTAGGGAGCCCTGTTGGAAAATTCCAGTGGCAAGCCCATGGAGCCAGCGCTGAGCTGGTGTCAGAGTGCTAAAGGAAATCATCCTGGGGCACTTATTCATACTGGCTTGGCAAATGATTACTTTTATGGGCCAGTGATAAATCCTTCTACTTCTAACTAATCATGGTTTTACATAGTGTTTGCACAAAGCTTCCTCTCAGAACATGGGGAAGTGTTAGTATGCAGGCGCTATAAATAAAGGAGGTTGCTCCTGTCACTCTGATTATCTTTGTGTATAAAACAGAATATTACCAGCAACACCACAATGGTTATTATATATAACTTGTCCTTCCTTTGAAAAGTTTCAAAGGAATCTGGGCCATGACACATGAATTCCTCTGCCAAATGATGACGCTTCTTCTTTGTCCTTGAGATAACGCTGTACTTGCTTTTTAATGGTAGTATTTAACTCTGGGAGCAAAATTCATTCCATTTTTCTGAAGTGAAGATCATTATAATACTAATAATAATACAGAAATGGATTTTAAAATGCTTGGGTTACACAGACACATGTATTTGTCAGTTTTTCTCTATAGGAGACAAGTATACCAAAGTGCTGAGTCATACATCATTGGACTTGTTTCCCCATTTTCCTGCTTCCTTCCTCCCTCCCTTCCCTACCTTAGGGAAACTGTGCAGGCATATATTTCTGGAAGCCAAGGAAATATTTTTCATTTAGATTAGCCCAAGGAGAAATTTGAGGTATGATGAAAGTGGTCTGAGGTTTATTCCTACTCATCCTACTAAACCGATTGCCTCTTGGTGCTTTTCCAGATCCTTGATACTGAGTTCCTTTAATCAAGTAATTATTTCAAAGAAAATGATCAGGTTTCCATAGGGTCATTACTTCCTTTATAGTCTTGGTTCCATCTACCTTATTTCTCCTAGCTTCATTTCCAGGTATCCTATTTCTCTATCCTTCAGTTAGGGCTGAAAACAAATCTGCATTATGGGAGTAATTGTTACTTGATGATGATAGTCTATTTTCCTCTCATCAATATTTGAATATCATGGGATTTTAGGGAACATGGGTTTTGTTGTTGTTGTTGTTGTTTTGATAAACATCTTGTGGAGGATTCTGATTCTTGGTCTGGAATTTTTTTATAAATAATGTATTAACACAGCTCAAAATTTAAAAGTTGTAAGTAGTACCTCTAAGCTACTCATCTCTTTACTTAGAGGGACTGTGTGTGTGTGTGCACCCACACGCACACTTATGTCCCCTTGAGTTAGTTTAGGCTTAAATGAACAAAGGCAAGCACCTCTCCCTCATTTTATACAAACAATAAACAATTTTCACAGTTAAACACCTTGTAAAAAATTACTTAATGTTATGGGATTTTACAAAAGGCAAAAACTGTCAAGACTGTAAACAATGAAAGCAGAACAATTTGAATGATAGGTAGTATATGTGCTCAGTGATCTGAAATCATACCCATAGGCCATGGTCATTTTTTCCATCTTCCAGTAGAGTTGGTGCTATCTGTAGTCTTTCAGAGTTTTGCAAACTGCAGCCCCCCCGCCCCCAAGAAACATTAGGAAAAAGTGTTGGGTTTTAGTACTAGAAATAATGAAGAATTAGCAGGGGAAATTTAGTATATTGTTTTTAAAAAGAAAAATTAGCATCCAGTTAGTTTAATTTCAATTCCTAATAGACTGATGAAATAACATTATTAAGAATGTGTAAACATCTATAAGATAGTGGAAGCAGGACCAAAGATTTAAAGTAGTAATCATCATACAAAAACCTGATTGTTTTCCTTGATAGCTTTATAGAATTAACTTGATTAAAAAAAGGCTATAGATGTTAAATATCATGATTTTGAGAAAGTAATTTTTTTGAATTCTCACATACCAAATTAACTGAATTGGATAAAGAAATTATGAATGTTTAATAAACTGTCCAAAGACATAATGATTATTGAAAACATATCAACTTAAAGAGAACCACAAGATAATGTGTATATATTTTTTAATGATCTGAAAGAATTAGCTAAGCAGCATATTAATGACATCTACAGATAATGGTGAATTGGGTACCTTTTGTTTGTCTTTTTTTAGGCGTGCTCTGGGGTCAAACATGCAAGTTTAATGTAACAGCAAAAGGTGTAATAGACTTTTTGCAAAAAGCTAACTGTTGTATCTGGAGAGAACTCATAAAATCCATGGGATTGGGGAGGGGAAAATCTAGTGACTAGATGACTGTTTTAGGAAATGGGCAGTAAAATGACCATTGATTATTATGTGAATTAGATATGATCTTAAAGTACAGTTAACCAAGTTTTTTAGTTTATATGATAAAAATCAAGTAGTAATCTGGGAATACTGTTACATATTTTTTCAGCTTTGTTACCCAGCCATCTGTCATTAGATGTCATTGTGATTGAGCAAACCAAGAATTTCTACTACAATAAAAAGGAAAAAAGAAAAAGGAGACATACATTGTAGAGACACACATGAAAATATGTGGAGCTAGATGACATTTGTTTTCATATGAATTACTAGAATACTCAACTTTAGATGACCTCGGCACCATGTATCTCTTTTCTTTAAGTTGAGCACAGCTGCTCAGAAGAGATGAAGTGGACCAGGGAGCTAGCAACTGAGTGAACCTCGCCACAGACAGTGTCCCTATTTTACATGTGGTTAGGCTTAAGCTTAGAGAAGTTGCAATGTCTTACCAAATGTATCATGGATAGTAAGCGGCTGAAATGGAATTGAAACCCATGGGTCTTTGCTTTAAGCACAGAGCTCTTCCTTCCTTATTACACGGGAAAAAACCTTGCATTGGAATATTCTGAGACATTTTTCATTTTTGGAAGCTAATAAGGGGTATTAAGTCTCCATGGACAACGAGGAGGATAAGATTTCAGTCTCTATAAGGAATAATGGGTTGCCTTTTTGACTTAAAGAGCTTCACATCAGCAAATGCATGTCCACTTTGGATCAAGAAGAAATAATAGTTTGAAAAATAATAGAAAAGTGAGTAGGCATGCCAGGCATCTTTACATCTTTAAATTTGTTTATCAAGCATAGATTTTATAACCTGAGTGATATTAAGAATTTGTCATACTGTATGATTTATGTACGTTAAAGGCTGTAATCAGTAAAATATCCAGAAATGGTAGGGTTACTGATAAGAATTAAAGAGGTGGAGATGAAGGAACTAAAATTAGCCCCTAATTTGCATGGTTTGTTTTTTAAAAAACATCAATTTTATAGAAACCTGTGAAGAATTAAAGTGATAGAAAATTGCAAAGTGTGTTCTCCTGGTAGGGAAATGTTCTGTTTTCCCTTCTTGATTATTTTAACAGAGAATCAATACTAATATCCTTTGTATTGTACTTTAGTGTTTACAAAGTGGATTCACATATATTCTCGTATTTCATCTCTGAATGACCTCTGGAAGATAAGGTTTCCTAATTATGCTTTTTAAGGTCTATTTCTTAACTTTAAGAGCAGATTGAGCACTATTTCCTCAATTTAGAAGGTTTGACTGATTAACTGTTTGGTGGAACATTCAAGAATGCAGAGGGGAAGAAGTGACGAGGATTTTAAATAATAAAAACTACTCCTGACATAATTTACTGAATAGCAATCTCATTCATTTTTCAAAAGGCTGAAAACAGAACAAAAACCACAGGTAACAATGGAAGCAGGGAGCATGTGTGTCTCTGATTCCGTCACTTAGAGTAGCAGCTTGCTTGCTTGCTTGCTTTCTTGCTTTCTTTTTTTTTTTTTTTTAAAGATTTTATTTATTTATTTGACAGACAGAGATCACAAGTAGGCAGAGAGAGGAGGAAGCAGGCTCCCTGCTGAGCAGAGAGCCTGATGTGGGGCTGGATCCCAGGACCCTGGGATCATGACCTGAGCTGAAGGCAGGGCTTTAACCCACTGAGCCACCCAGGCTCCCCGAGTAGCAGCTTTCTTGACTAACTTTTGAGAGCAGAACACTTTGAATATCTCTTTCATAAGAACAGCTTTATACTTTCTTCTTAGTTTTGTTGTTTTACTGGCATATCCCTAAACTTGATTTAAATCTAATAGCATTAAAACAAAAACTCTGGTTTCTTTATTGTTATAAATATTTTTTGGTAAATCTTTTACCTTATTGGTTAGGATGAAGTATGGCAGTGTGTAACCCCAAATCCCCCAAATAAAAATAATAGTGGCTGAAACAGGCTAAAAGTTCATTTGTCTCTTATGTAAAAGGAATCAAGCAGTCAACAGTCCGTGCTGGTATGTATGATAGTCCCAGTGTCAGAGAACCAAATACCTACGTCACGTCAGTGTCATCCTTAACACATGGTCTGATGGTCCAAGGTGGCTGCGGGAGCATCAGCCATCAGGTTCACATTCCAGGCAGCATAAAGGAGGGAAGAAAAAGGGCACCTAGTTTACCTTTTAAGGATGGTTTTGTGAAGTGCCACAGAGCATTCTTACTTTTATCATGTTCTAGTTGTAGGGCTAATGTGAAAACAGCTTGTTGTAAGGCAAGTGCATGACTCCTCAGCTAAAAATCAGGGTTTCTTTAGTGTGGAGGAAGAGAAGAATAGATGTTGGTATAAGCATGCGTCAGTCTCTGTCGCACGTAGAGTATGACACAACAGGTTAGTAGTGAGGATGCTTCAGTAGGATTTTGTGACTGCCTACTCTTCATGTATAGATGCAGATATATTTAGATACGTGTATATATATTAGATATGTGTATGTCTACATAAGTTTATGTATGTCTTTATTTAAACGAGTTTGTTTTCACAAGCTTGCCTTCCTTCCTTTCTACCTTCCTTCCTTCATATTTTCTTTAGGATTTGTTATTCATTTGAGAGAGAGAGAGAGAACACAAGCAGGGAGGTGGGCAGCAGGCAGAGGGAGAAGCAGGCTCCCCGCTGAGCAGGGAGCCCTATGCAGGGCTCCATCCCAGGACCCTGAGATCATGACCTGAGCCGAAAGCAGACACTTAACCATCTGAGCCACCCAGGCGCCCCTCACAAGTCCTGTTTCTAACCAATAACCCTAACATTAGATTTCTGGATTGCTTCTGACTACCACACTAAATTTCCAAAGTCTTGAGGAGGAGATGTAAGCAACTTGATGCTAGCATAGTTTCTATGTGATCCCCACCCCGCCTTATTTCTTAAAGAGACGAAAAATTGCCTAGAGAAGAATGGGCAATGTGCCAGCTTACCATTTCTTTAAGGGTCTAAGATTTGGCTTTAGAGAGTAAAAGAAAATTCCAGAAACCCTCTTAAGAAAGTTATTATTTCTTTCAAATGTGATCTGGAACAGCAAAGGACAATATGTTTTATAGCCCAACTTTTAAGACAATTGAATTGGCAATAAATTCACATAATGAAACTTCCAGCAAGTCTTTATATTTCTATTGGGGGAATTCCTTGGTTCTTGGAGTAAATTTTTAAATAGTTAATATCAGCTTTGTATTCTTTATATTCCTTTAGTTGTAGAGCTAATGAGAAAACAGCTTGCTGTGTTACGAAGAATGCCTTCTAGTGAGCCAATGAATCAACTTGTGCTTGTTTCGGTTGTCAGGCATGCTAAATAGTAGTTTTTAGGCACTTGAGGGATTGCCCGTAATGTTATTGTGAGATTCTCTTTCTCATCCATAACCAGTAAAATCCCTCCTTTCCACCGCTGCCTCTTACAGACCCCCAGCATGTCCCGTTCTTCCCCATAATCTGTTTTTATCTGGTTCATCTGTACATCAGGAGCAAGCAAGTCCTGTTTTCTCAAAACCCTGGATCTTCACTCTAGATTTCCTATGAAAATTTGACAAATCGATGTGTCTTTTAAGGCCTCAGTATCTTTTTACGTAAAATAAGAGGTTGAGCTAAAATATTGTTTTCTTCTACTTCCAAAATTCTAAACTTCTGCAATGGCTTTTTAAAATAAGCTTAAAAAAAAAATTCTAGAGAGCATATTTTCCCAAGAATCCCACCTAAAGTGTTAGTTTACATTTAAGAATGCTATCTTTGGGGCACCTGGGTGGCTCAGTGGGTTAAGCCTCTGCCTTTGGCTCAGGTCATGATCTCAGGGTCCTGGGATCGAGTCCAGTGTCAGGCTCTCTGCTCAGCGGGGAGTCTGCTTCCTCCTCTCTCTCTGCCTGCATCTCTCTCTACTTGTGATTACTCTCTCTCTCTGTCAAATAAATAAATAAAATCTTAAAAAAAAAAGAATGCTATCTTTAAGAAGTGTTTGCTTATTAGTTTTTTAAAAGGAATCTACGTCAAGAAATGTTTGATATTAGGTATATTATGAGTTCAGATACATAAGCTAATTTTTAACATGATGCTTAGATTTTATGAGGGGGAAAACAGAAAAATGTTACTTTTACTATAGAACCATGTTCTACATTTTCCTTTAGAAATTAAATGGTAAGTGTGTTAGATCACTTAAGCGAGACAAGGAGGGGTGATGGAGTTACCTTTTGAGTCAGCATGTAATCATGTCAACCTCTTTGATAATCCATTTTATTTATATTCAAATAGTATGTGTATCATTTTATTGGCAGCTGCCACTGTTCTGAAGTTACGGAAAGTGTCCTGAACACATTGTATCTGTAAGTGGCTCCACTACTGTAATCTTTGTTTACTCTTTGAATTAAGGTGTAAATATGTGCCCACACTTGATCAGGATTTCAAACTTAAGGAATTTAAGTATGGCAGATCCCAGGTTTTTAGAATAGGTTTTAAAGATAATAGCCAGGATTAGAAACCAGAAGGGGACTAGATACAACTTTTTGTTTATTTATTTTATTTTTGAGAAGATTTTACTTATTTATTTGAAAGAGAGCAAGAGTGAGAGCACAAGCAGGAAGAGTCGGGAGGGAGAAGCAGGCTCCCTGCTAAGCAGGGAGCCTGATGTGGGACTTGATCCCAGAACCCTGGGATCATGATCTGATCTGAAGGTAGACACTTAACCAACTGAGCCACCCAGGTGTCCCCTACATACAGTTTAAAAAAAGAGATTTCATTTTACAATTCTTAGTAGATAGACTGAAGCATTTTTTTTTTTTTTGAGATTTTATTAAGAAGGCTTAATTGGGAGATATAAAATTAACTTCTTTGGTGAAAATGGTAACTACTATTTAGTGCCTACTGACTGGCAATTAACTAACCTCTTTACATTTGTTTTTTTCCCTTTCATCTTTACAAAGACTTCAAAGTAGAATACCTGTTTCACAGGTGAGGAAGCCAAGGTCGTCCAGGGTAAGTTGTGGAAAGGCAAAGTTGCAGGTGGCTTCCAGGGACCCTAGAGCTGGTTTGACTTACACCCTTTCAAGAGAGTACTGAGGGATATCAGGGATAATTAGAAAGGATGTTGCTAAAGTAGTTTAATAATTTGCTTTCTTGATTAATCAGAGCTCTTGAAACTGTATATGCTTAGCACATTTCCCCCTTTCTATCTACCTCAGAACCTTTCCCCCAGGAATAGTATAAATTCACCCTAAACTGATTCAGAGAAATCAGAAAATAAAAATTGTGCTCACATAATAGTCTGATTAGCATATGTAATTCAGTACCTCCTGATACTATTAGGAATGTAAGGCGTGTGTGTTACCTCAGGGATTGAGTCTGTTTGGAAAGTTGGAAACATTGAGTGTGAGTGGGTAAAGCCACAGGCTTTGTAGACATAGAATCTGATTTGAATCCTGGCTCCACCAAGTACTTGATATATGAGCCCTGGAGTCTTGGTTACTTCATATGTTAAATGGGCTGTTGGGACTACCCTTCTTTGTCAGGTTAAAAGGAGATCCTGTATCTGGATTACAAGCTTAGTGCTTGGTAAAGTGTTAGTTGCTCTTGTTTTTTAAAATGTATTCTTTGATAATTTTATTGTTCTTTGCCATGGAAATACCTTCTCATTTGATTTAAGAAAAGTGGCATGTTTTAAGAATTTTTAAAGAAATAAAAATTTACTCAATACTGGGAGAATTTTTATAGCTTGTTTAAAAAAAAATCTGCCGAATTCTTCTCAATAGATTTTTTGGGGGGGGGGTGTCCCTAGAATATGAGTAGTTAAAACATTTTTCTTTAAAATTTTTCTTTTCAGGAATTTCTGTGGTATTTTTATTGCACAATAGTTGAAGTATTTTGAAGAGATGTTCTGTTTTTTAAAAGTTAATTCTGATATCAATTGACACATTAAGTAATGATTTCTATCTCTCAACAGCATAATACTCTGATTTTAAAAACTTTAAAGAAATATGTATATATATTTATTCATTTTTTCCCTGGTAGTTCAATGGAGTTTTTATTGGGAAAAATTACTTCTCATTCCTGTTTTACAGACAGGGAAGATGAGTCAGATGAGTCATGATACTCCTCTTATAAAACAGTGATGGATTTGGGCAGAGAAGGAAAAGGGTGTGAGAAGAAAAACATCCTTGATTCTCACTCAAATTGGATTCATTCTGCTGCGCTCTGCGGTGTTCAGCAGCATGGCCAGCCATGGAAATGTTTTTAATTTTGATTCTGGGTTGTCGTATAGTTCAGTGCATGTGACTAGAAAGGTCTCTTGGGCAAAGATGCTAATTTAAGAATGTTGTCAGTCTAAATGCTCCTAAGAGGATTAAACAAATTCCACGGCAAATAAATGGACATGTTTGGAAGGTTTTCCCTCCAAGTAATTTCCAGAAAACACACGAATCATTTGCTAAGCTGAAAATACAAGCCTATTAATGAGCCCAACTCACATGAATGGCCAGTCAGTGAAGGAACTTCCTTTGCAGGCTTGGGTTCAGCCGTACGAGCTGCACACCAAGTTTAATTAGAATTTATTTACAGCTAGAAGCTGCTCCTGTTTTCCTCTCCAAAGTCAGTAATGAAGCATTCCTCCTTGCCTCGTCATTAGTATTCAGAGCTCCGTCAGCCTGCAGTTCAAACTCTTTCCCTTGTTTTTGTCAGAGAAGATGATGGAGCAAGGTTGCTTAGGAACACTTAGCCACACTCGCAACGGGAATTATCAATCTGTTCTGTACGCTCACCTCCACACGCAGGGGAGAAAATTGAGTTTTGCTGCTGACAACGTTAATTGATTGCGAGTTGTTTTAGTGGGAGTATGATGTTGAAAACTAGATTTCCTTTCATTTTTATGCATTAGATGCAGAGAAAATATACAGTAACACGTTCCGCTGTAACTAAAATTATCGTAGAGGTATCTAAATTTGGATTTGTATGTTTTAGTATTCAGATCTTGACACTGGTCAGTTTACAGGATTATCTTTGGGTTTTGGAGACTGTTTCTCTAGTGATTTCTTTGGTTTCCAATAAATGCACATAGCCATCTCCTTCAATAGAGTTCTGATTAGTGCGGTCAGGGGGTGACCCATGATGTTGGGGGTGGATAGAGGGGTGAAATGGAAACCAGCACCATCTGGTTACCTCCAATTTGATATGGTCCAAAAGATGCTTTTGTCTGTTTCTCCCTCCCCTGCCTCGCAGCTTCTTGTCAGATAGATGTCTTCAAAGATGTCTTGCCCTAAAATATAAAGTAATGAATGCAGTATGTGTCTGTGGATGGTTTCATTTGACTTGAATTCATTTTTAGAGATGCTCTGATTTGGCTATTAGGAACTCTAAAAAACTGAAACAAATGAGAACATGGCTGATGAGAAAAAGTTAGACAAGCAAACAAACAAAACACCTCTCTGAGGGAAGGGATGGGTCGAAGTGGGGTAAGGAAGAGACGCCAGAGGCAAGCAAGCAGTGCTGTCTTCGTCTGGATCCGGAGCTCCAGTCCTCTGTAGCGCCTAAGCCAGCTTGCGTATTTAGAGTGGCTCTTGCCATAATATATTTTATCCAGGACTCTTGTTGAAATTAATGGATTGAGATTTGGCAGGGAGGCCTTACCTTTTACTCTTGTCAAACATCCTTAATTCTCGTTCTTATTTATTCAAGACGACACATGAAAGTCACCTGTGGAGCTTGAAAAAGCAGTGCTCGGGCACCTGGGTGGCTCCGATGGTTAAGTGACTGCCTTGGGCTCAGGTCGTGATCCTGGAGTGCTGGGATTGAGTCCCACATCCCTGCTGAGCAACGAGTCTGCTTTTCCTGAACTCTCTCTTATGCTCTCTTTCGTTCTCTCTCTCTCTGTCTCCCAAATAAAATACAAAATCTGAAAAAGAAAAAGAAAAAGAAAAAGCAGTGCTCATTCCCTGGCTTGCACTTTGCAGGGTCTGATTTAGTGGAAAAGGAAGCTGTCTCATAAAATTAATATTCTGGGAGGTTGAATTTGACTTGTTAAGAATTTGTGCATTCTCAGAATTTTGTTTCTTTAAAAATGCATTTAGGGCGCCTGGGTGGCTCCGTGGGTTAAAGTCTGGGTCCTGGGATTGAGTTCCGCATCCGGCTCTCTGCTCAGCGGGGAGCCTGCTTCCTCCTCTCTCTCTGCCTGCCTCTCTGCCTGCTTGTGATCTCTGTCTGTCAAATAAATAAATAAAATCTTTAAAAAAATGCATTTAAGTGATCCTTGTGTTATGAACATGTTCCTGTGTAAGGAGTCGTGTAGAAACTGTTCTGGATAAAATGATTAGTGCCAGTGGTATCAGAATGGCCGATGGCTCTGCAGGGGTTCTCTAGGAACTTGTCTCTTGGTTGCCGATAGTCTTTGAAAATGTTTTATTCCAAAGTTCATAGTGATCCTCTAGGCTTATCACTTCCATGGTTTGAGAGAATAGTTATCCTGACAGGAAGGGAGAGGAAACATTCAGGTTCAGGAGTTGACAGGTTCTGTTATTCCTTGTCTAAAGGTAGCGCTGGCATAAGTACTTTATTCATAGAGTCATAGTTTAATAAAGGTCAAAAACGTCTTGTAGCTAATTGGACTGAACTCCCTCACTTCTTATTTGAGGAAACAGAGTCTTAAAGCCTATTTTAATGAGCTAGCAGCCACATTATACCATGGAGTTACATAATGTTGAATTTTGCATGTGTGTTTGATCCTTGGAAAATGCTGAGGACTCCTCCGTGTAGAGGGGACACTGATAAGTGGATCATGTGGTATTGTGTTCTCAAGGACCCAGAGGACACATAGGAATTATGGACAAACATCTTGTTCTGATGATGATCTGGTTAGAAGCTTGGAAGAACAGATGTGTCTGTTATTGTAACTGAATTTGAAGGAGGAATCTAGGAGGGTTTGACATAATTGAGATCTTTAGGAACACATGATTTTTTATTATTTAGAGTAGTTTTAACTCTCAGACTCAGTATCCCCACCTTTTTTTTAAACAGAGGTTTCTTTTTTTTTTTTTTTTAAAGATTTTATTTATTTGGCAGAGAGAGAGATCACAAGTAGGCAGAGAGGCAGGCAGAGAAAGGGGGAAGCAGGCTCCCTGCTGAGCAGAGAGCCTGATGTGGGGCTCGATCCCAGGACCCCAAGATCATGACCTGAGCTGAAGGTAGAGGCTTTAACCCACTGAGCCACCCAGGAGCCCCGTCAGTATCCCCTTTTTATAATAACTATTCTATAACTTTTCCTTTTGGTATCCTGAGATGAAATTCGTAGAAAATAGAACCTAACTATAAGTATAATAAATAAATAGAAAAATTAAATACCTAAATTATTATATATTGATCTATAATGTTAACATTTATAGGATGTATTTGAGGCTGATTGGTGACCTATCAAAATAAAAGTTAAGTATAAAGGAAATGACTTATAATAAAACTATCATTCCAAACTGTGAACGTCAAGCTTGACCTAACTGGAAAACAGATGCCTTCATGATCTCACAACAACCCCCTTTCCCCCCAGGAGGTGGCACAGCTCCTCTTGAAGCACCCCTTATTTAAAGTTATACTTCCTGATGGCATTTTATGGAAAGTATATGCATGAAACAGATGCAATTCAGAAACTGTGTGGAGGCTGATTTGGTGAATTCCTTCCAAGCCACAAGTATAACAGAGCCTTGAATTCCTGATTTTAACTATGGGGGCTATTTTAAACGGCTGAAATTTTAATACCAGTATATGATATGATATACCCTCACAAAATATATTAAATAAGGTAAAAAACTTTAGAAGACTCCTTTGGGATATTAGTAGAATAGAAAATAAATGATTATTTAAAAAAAATTCTGGCACCCAGGGGGTCTTGGTGGCTCAGTGGATTAAAGCCTCTGCCTTCAGCTCAGGTCATGGTCCCAGGGTCCTGGGATCGAGCCCCACATTGGGCCGTCTGCTCAGTGGGGAGCCTGCTTACCCCCCCCCCCCCAGCTCTCTGCCTGCCTCTCTGCCTACTTGTGATCTCTATCAAATAAATAAATAAAATCTTTAAAAAAAATTCTGCCACCCAAATAAATGTGATATTACATTGCATCATTAGTTTAAACAATTTCATTGCCGCTTACTATTAATACAACTGGTAGTTTGATTTTGTCTCTATTTTTTTTTAAAGAAAGAACATAATTTTTAAAGGTCTTGTATAAGAGATTACAAGCAGGAGGATAAGAGTCACAATGAGATGTGAGGCTAGTCAGTTTCTACTTAATAATTCATTCTTATTTACTGTATTGTATTTTTTTCAAATCACATTCTTTGAAAAAAATCCCTGTATCAGTTAGTTTTATTAGTAAAACATATCTTTTTCTTACTTAGAGCATC